CGACCGACCCCAATACTGTGTGGTAAAGCGACCCGATAGGTTGAGTATCAAAAAACTATTATGTGGAACTGAGTGCGATAAGAACCACGCAGTTTTATTTCATATCTTGTATGCCAAAGTACATTCACCCTTTGACCAATTATTTCATGTGGGTTGTAACAAGACTCAGGTTTGAAAATAACTAGAGAACCAGACAAGTTAATCAAGAAGATTTGGAGGATTTAACACACGTGCTGATGGATAACAGAGTCTGAAGCTCCTTAAGGTATCTGCATGCAGCACTTTCTGGTATAAGCCGAATAAACCAAGAGAAACACCTCGTCAGTATTTGTGTTGCTTTAAGGCAGGAATTTGTCGTTTCACACAGCTTTCTAGGATTCAGTTAATCCATCAGCTCAAAAGCTACAACCCCCCTCCAAATAAAACGCTTGGAGCACCCGGAAAAACAAAGAGTGGATGGTGGCCAAGCGAAGCTGGTCTTAACGGTACTTCTGTTAGCCGTAGGAAACCTTCGAGTGATTGGACTGATAATTAAAAATCACGGAAATAAGATAGACAGGTGTAAAACCCGCCAATGCTAACAAATTTGGGTAGCCTAGGGGAATTACTTTGTAGCACTGTTTACTCTTTTCGCCGCGGTGAAGTTTAGTCATATGACTGAATGAAAAAATTGTTGTCAAGAGATGCCTGTAAAAACCAGGCGCACAAGATACATGGTGTCTGAGCTCTACAAAACGGACATATTTTAGGAATTCAATAAGCATAATAGTCTCACGACCGTGTGGGCTTCCGCAACATGCAAACGCATCTGCCTAACAGACCGTGTATGGTCAACGAATTCCTGATGGCCCAAACGTTGAACACAAAGAAGCAAACGAAGACAATTTTTCCGTTTTTACCGCTACTTGCTTCGGGATTTGACATAAAAATGACAATATTGGTAGCCACATGGCCAGTAGAAAACTTGCTACACTTCTGTTACTAATCTAACGACCTTTGTTTTCGTGAACTCCAAAAACGCACATTAGAAAACGGAAAATGTGATGCTATACTGGAAAGTAGTTGAAACGGTTAAAAGAGCAACAGCCAAATGACTGACAAACAGTATCGTATGATGATACGCTATCAAGTTTATAATAACTCCAAGCAACACGCCTCTGCGTACTTTGTCACTGACATTATTCCTCCCAAGTCTACATCGGCATCAGTGACTAGCGTGCAGAACTTCACAAGGCCACAAGCCACCTGTAGATTTTCAACCGTGAGCAGGCTTTCAACGACAATTTATTGTTGACTGTGAGGTGCGTTGAGCATGTCAGCCATTCATTTATATCATATTAAATCAGTGTTGCACCGTGTGGGACACTTTTGCGTATTGATCAGGATATCAATACTTGTAGCACCAATTTTCGGTGAGAGATTCCTGACACTGGTCAGAAAAGTAGGCATGATGCTAAATCGACCGTACACTAATGTCGTCACTAGTCCATAAAAATGTCAAAGGCAATCCCAGAAAGAGCACAGTTTGAAGGTGAGTTGGGCTAAACCCTCATCCCGTTTCCGGGATAAGTCTGTGAGTGTAGAAGGAAATGCCACGTAGCTCACAATTTCACTCTAAGACCTCTGATATTCCCAATTTTTAGCAGGGAATCTGACGAAACAAAATCCCATCTTGTAGTTACGTGTCACTAGTAAAGCCAGTGTGATAGGTTGTTAAACAGCATGCTGAATTTACAACCTACGGGTTATATTAATCTGGTAGACAATAATTTCTACCAGTTCATACTCTGTTGTTTATCCGCGTTGATTGTAAATTTCCATATAGTTTCACCCCACAAATTCTCCAAGCAGAATTCTGGTATTAAATGATGATGTAGGAGGAGGCACGTACAATAAAATATAATTCCTTTATGCACCACTCCTGAAAGGGCCTTTATATTTCCTAAACACTGGAAAAATTTCGTATTCACAGCCACATTTTGGGATGATTCACCCAGGTTCCACCAAACGTCTCTCATAATCCTCAGTTAGATATCCTTCTCGTAGTGTCAGTGTTATTGGAGCAGTTAATTCACAAACCTAATCATTATTCTTGTTCTTGTATATCGCTGACACCTTCCATAGAACCCTCTGACCTACAAAAATTCTAACGTCTGCCTTCTTTTTCTCTCAGCGCGCTGAGCGAAATGCGCAATGTTTGACCAGCTCTTTGCAGCACATCAGATCACTAGTGAACACTTCATCAAGTTTCTACGAGGATTTGTGTGCACTGTCACTGGCAGAGCAGCTCTACACAGGAAACATTTTACATTGCAACAGCAGCCTCGAAGATGATTTCAGAACCAATACGACTGAAGAGGACATCCGTCGTAAAACTATTCTAGTTGGACAGATGTCACGTGGCTTCAGTGTTGATAATCACTACGGGAAAACGAGAGCGGATATGGTAGAACAATATGCGGAAACTTCCAAATCCAATCTACTTGAGTTGCAACTGATCAACTTATTCTTTGCAACTTCCATCTCGGGTTCCCAGTTAAAGGACGTTTTGCGAAAATATCTACGTCCTTTATCAGCAAAACGCATGCAACTCAAGCCCAGGATCGAAGGACCCCAGAGTCGTGAAAACGTGCTGGAAAGGCAGGAAATAGGCCCTTCGGATTGGTTTGGAAAAAGCCATTCACCAGATCTGTGTGATGGTCGATCACAAATGGGACTGGAGGAAAAGTTTCACGACTGGCTTGTGGAGATTGGAAAGCAGATTGCTGCATCACTTCAAAGGCTTGAATTGTTTGTGGATAGCATGAACGCAATTGTATCTTCAAATCGACCAATCATCGAAGCCTTCCAATTTTCCCAAGGAAATATTTCAAGGATTCATCCAACTGGGTGGGTTAGCAACTGATTACTGGGTTATTATAAGTGCAATAAAACATACTGTTGTTGGGTTAAACGAAGACCATTCTATCATTTTTTTGGAAAAATTGCAAAAATATATGATGGTCCACCTCAACCACGGACCGATGAAATTTCACACCACGATCAATTAATAGCCTCAGCTGTGTAAGTTACCTCAGGTGCATAAACGGTGATAAGCGAGGGTCACAAACTAAGCAGAGGCAGGTGACTTCTTAGCCATAGAGAACAGCGCGAAATTTAATCCTTATTTGTTCGTAGAATAATGAAGGAGCTCATAGTGATGAAGTAAAAGAGGAACACATATATTTTGAACTGGAGGCTAAATTTAAGACATTGATGACAGATTCTTGAGGCGACACTTCTGTAGATCATTTTGAGGTAACGAAGGGCCTAAAGCGCTACTGTCAGTGAAGGTACACCGGAAACTCCCGCGAACGAAGGTGGCGGGCTTTTTCACCTTGACTTTAATCGCGGCGGGTTCCCTCACCTTGAATCCAATCGACATTCATCGTTACCAGTTTAGAGCGTCTGTCAGTGCAGCATTAATGATGGGCTTCCATGGAAAAAAAAACCATACTCGGAGGTATATATGTTCCTTACCCAATAGTCAATGCGACAAAACTCTGAATAACTCCTCAGAAAATTGGTTTCAGTGTCTCTTCTTGTGAAAGCTTTTTTACCTGGTATGTCAAAGGTCTTTGCTCAGTCCCTCAGTGAGAGTACACAGTAGAAAAGGTAATGGTTTGGTGAAGAAAAGTGAAACCTCCAACAAGTAATATTAAGTGGTGATGAATTGGATGGTACTATTTTTGCCCCTCTACTGAGTAGGTTTCCCTGACTCCACTGGGCGTGTACAGCAAAGCTCATTTATGGATCATATGTGAGTCACTTTGACATTCTGTTCATGCATGCGGACATACACTGTACAGAATTTTATCGGCAGCAAGCACGATTTGCCGGAATTTTTTTATTTGTTAAAACCAGTGCATTTCGCCTTGCATGCAAACAGCCCCAGACACAATTTCAAAAGTGCAATATCTCACTGCTGTCCGCGCTCCAGTGCCTTAGTACCAGAAAACCACTCGCCAACAAGTAACACAACAGCTTTACCGAAAAGAAGCAAGTGCGCCAGTTACAGGAGACCTCGCATTATTCGAATTTCACTTTTCATCGACCCAGATTGTTGCTGAATGGATTGCTCGGTTGACTAAACTAGAAGCTTGCTGGTCTCCCTATAGAGATTTCGGTGAATTTTTAAGGTCTCAGCATGTTTCGGACATTCTGTGGTTACTTACAGAAATTTGACTTTCCTGATAGAAAGAAACCAAAATTGGTGGCCTATCGTCAGCCAAATGCGTTTTACGGCTGATCATTTTTACGACCATGCTTTATATGTCCCTAACTGAATCAAAATGAACACTTTCCAGTGAATTCATGGTAACGGTGATAAATTCCGTAAGTCCATACCGAATCTTGTGGAAGTCTTTTTCTCAGACCTTAAAGTGTGCATTTGTTAATTCGCAGACGTTATCACGTACATATCGATACTTTTGACCGTTAGTTAATCATGCCACGTCAACCACAAAGTATCTGTCTAGCTCACCTACCCAAATATTAAAGTGCTACAGGATTACACATTTCTAATCTGGAAGAAATTCTTTGTCAGAATAAATTGGGGAAAAAGAATGATCATGTTCAAATCTGTTTGATTTTTGGTATCCACCGATCAGATATGTCCATCATATTTTACACTGCCTTATTGTCGTTCACTACATTCCAGGCTGGTTTCATTCACTATTCAATTGGAAGCTGACTCAAACTTCCTCATGACACATCAAGTAACTTCCCTGGACACGGTGCTCAATCCGTTCGGTGAGTGAACCTTCGCACCTCTGTGAAACTGTTGGTAGATGTGATCGCTGGTACGGGCGTTGATCATCTCATGATTTATCCCACTTGCCTGATCAATGGTGCATGGCATCGAATTCCTGGTTTAGGGCTAACCTTACCCATTGACTATCCCGTGGCACTCATTGACGTAATGGAAAACGATAAACTGGGACAGCCCACTGAAGACCTGCGGTGGAGAATTGTTCGTTCTAGCAGTTTTACTGTCACAGACTTTGGATGAATACAGATCACAGCAGTGGCTTTGGCGCCCATTAATTGTAATAACTCGCCAGCTAAAATCACCATTAATATTGGATATTTGTTGATTCATTCGGAAACTACAGTACTTTGGGCACTATCGGACCACTTGAAGATTCCTGTCAGTAATCTTTGAAGGAGTTATCCTAAACAGTAGAGTTTTCTGCCGACACTAAATATCGCATTCTTTCCCGAAACCTGTCTTAATGAATGGATAATCGTATATATTGGGTTATTGCACTAATTATCCGTTACTTCTAGTGAATCCTGAAGTCACGGTTTTCGTGAATTTTCTGGACCAACGGCCATTTGGGAGTCGTGCATTGGCGTCTTCAGGCGAGCATGACCCCAGTGTGTATTGACGGCCTCATTCTTAAATGTGGGTTAGTAGGACTACTATGCGGTCTAAGAACAGTGGTGTGTATGGGTCCTCTGAAATCCACTGAGGAGCGTTAACAGAGTTTTACTCCTGGATCAGAAAGCGAGTAATGAAATCAGCTAAATCTTCGGACATAAAAGTCCACCGTAAAATCACCATAACTGAACTGTTCAGAAGATGGCGCTCAGCAGTACTGAAGGATTACAGACACCTGGTAAAATCCTCCAGCTCACTGAGGCAGATGTGCGCAATTACTTGCATACTTTGGCAGACGTTTGCGTATGGCAAACAAATCGCACAACTCTGCGCACATTAGTCTATGAATTTCAAATCCTTGTTCATCCAATTTCACTTTTTTCATGTTGCTCCCAAAACAGGCGAAATTCTCGGAATTTGTTTCGCTTTCTTGGGGATACTAATCCCCTTGCTTCTTTTGATTGACTACGGATTCAACCAAACTTCCCGTCGTCAAAGAATTCGTTGAATGCAACCACGGTAAACGCACTCACGTTTGTTTTAAAAAGGTTAGATCTTTCACCTTGCATATTGCTTTCAGATCTCTACATCTACTATATTTATCATTAGATACTCACACACAAAACAAAGATATATAATGGGCTGGATTTATCTGATGGCTTCACGTTCTTTTACCTGAAAACACGTCTAGTCTGGTCATGTACTAATTTTAACTGAAACGAAGTGTCAGTCTTTTAAATTTGATACTTTGGATAGGTTCAAAACTAAACAGCGGAGTATAATGCAGAGACACACAAGCGACACGGTATTTCATCATTTAGAATGTCTTTATAAATGGAGGACTGCGTCAAAGTACGCAAGTTTATCAATAACAATCGGAAATTTCGGGGAGCATTTGATATTTGCTATTGTAACATATGACAGTATTTATGCAAGAAGGATTGAAGTGTCAGTGAGCAGCACAGATTACAGCTATTCTACACTTAATTACAAGTGACTATGTAGCGAATGGCTGAAAGGAGACGAGTGACTCATGTGACCTCGATACTTGAGCTCCGATGAGGCGGCGAGCTGTCTTTTGTATAGTGACCACTATACGTAAACGTATTGTCAGCTTCAGATCCAAGGTATTTATTTTACAAGCGCTCCGCTTTGTTTCATAATCTGATGCTTCACGGATGGTTAGCCCAACAGTAAAGTCAAATGGTTAGGACAAAACTTATGCCTTTAAATTTAAATTCAAGCTTTAGGTGTTATGTTTTCAAATCGTCATATCATAAAATAAAGCACATAATTGTTTATCCGTATCCCATTCCTTTCAGTTTGTAAATATCAAATGTATTGGAACGGCTTTTTGAAGCAACCACTATGCAACAATCAATCCTGGGCTGGCGTTGGCATTGTACACTCTGTGTGAAGTAGATTCCCTTTATTCGTCAGAAAATTATTTGTTTCCTCAGCGTTCTTTTTTGTAAACATTTGGGGAAGAAATACCAAGAAGTATACAGTCTCAAAGGCTTGAATGCCCGTTTATCAGCTGACAATCTAGTAGGGTGAAATCTTAAGAAGAATTGCCCCTAACAGTGTAACACACCGATCGTGTTCCGACTACGAACCATCAGTAGTAGTCGGATAAAAAGGTTTCCACTGGGGAAGCGATTGCTACTGCGGTGATCGGCCAAACCCCGAGTTCCTTAGAATAACCAAATAGCAGTATGATCGAAAATTCGATGTTTTTGTGTTTCGCGTTATTCTCTGTTTGATCCTGTCTGAAACTATTCTCGTCGACTAGGCAGTAAGAATGGCACACGCGCTGAGGAACTGATTGCCCGAATCCTCCACGAAATTTCATCAGGAATTCGTCGGTTTTCATATCTTCATTTCGATTCTCGTTGGTTATCCATAGAATTTGGTTGCGCGAGCTAATTTCATCCTATAAGTGATACCAATCTGTGCTGAAAACCCAAGAAACACCTTTTCCTCCGTATTGTCGAAAGTATCCGGAGTTTCATGAGATTATTCCTAACAAGAATAGAGCAGCTTAACAGTGCCTCTGTGCTTTTTCAATGTATTTGCTTCCCTTATGGAAACTTATCTGATCAATCCATGGATAAACCATGGGTAAACTGCGTTACAAACGTTTCATCACCAATCGAGGTGACATCATCAGTGCGTATTGTGCTTAGGCTGTGCGTAGTTGTGTGCACAACCACTAACCCACCGCTACGCACAACTACGCACTGATGATGTCACTTTGATTGGTAATGAAACGTTTGCAACCAAATTGCCCAGCTCAGAGAACAAGCCAACGACCATCTACGCTACCTGAGCTACCAACATTCTCCTCTATAGAAAACTGCGTTATTCATTGGTAATGGTCGGGTGGCCATTGCTCTCCACACCAAGCTTGGTAACTGGTTAGTATGGTGATGACACATCTCTCAATCAGTCGCCAAGCGTGGCGTACAGATGAACAGTCACCTGATCGACTACCAGTGAATGCACCCAAGCTACCAATATTCCAACACATTACAAGCAGCATTATCCATGCTCGTATAGTAGATATGCGTTCTCCGATTAACTAGTATTAGCGTATTATTTGTCGAAACACTGTCGTCAAACATCATTCAAACTTTAGAATAAATATACAGTCGACGAAGGTAACCAGATAAGAAATGTTAATTTTTTCGTTCCCCATGTCTGTGCCACTAAAATGCTCGATTTGTATCTATCGTAAAACGACACGTGCGTAAAGTATATGGTGTATGCGCAACATGACAGGGTATGTTTTGCTTTCACTGCAATTTCAAGGAAAGAATAAGCACCCAAGGTGGCACGAGGCCTGAAGAACTGTTCCTTCCACAATATCGGTGCATTTTAAAAACTTACCACACCTGAACGCATAGTATCTACGATAAGCGCGCACGTAAATATCCCGTGGCCTCAACAATTTTCAATGCTCGAGTAACCTATGCACCGATAATGGTCAATATCTAAACAATGGCTTGATAGTTTCCCACGGTTTCTTCTCAATCGCATTAGACGATCCTTACTTCTCCTTGAAGAGGCAGGAATATACTGTTTCATACAAAGGATAGCCTAGATAATCGGGCTAATTAGCTTGGCTGCTAAGCGAACATCTTGCCTTTCATCCGGTGGGTGAGTTTACATAAAGTGAAGCGAAATGGTAGAGTAGGCAACCTTGAACGACATGCTACATTATTTGCCACATGAAATACCAGAATTGGAACTTATTACTTACCGGAATTTCAGTTGTTTTGCTCTGCATATATAGCAAGTAGTGCCCACCGGATATATCTGCGAAGCTCAACTTAGCTTGTAAAAATTTTAAAGCACCCTCGTTAGATGGAAATTAAATGCCAAATGTAGTGGTGCTGTTATAAGGAACTTTGAAAATTTCGGTCTGCTTAAGGGGGTAACGTGACCGGAATTGCAAGCATTTTCAAGTCTCTTTCAATAGTGTGACTTTGCCGAACGACCAAGCGGCAAAGTTTGCGGCGCCATGGCAAATCGGTTTCTTCATTGAGAGGTGTCCTGGATAAACTCTCTTTGGTGGTGAGCGTTCTACTGAAAAATCATAAGTTAAAAAGAGTCATGTCAAAATTATTTTCTTACACCATTATTAGTGACAATTGTGCAAGGATTTTCTGCTTTTTGGGAGATATTTTTAAGGTTATTAAGAGCCGTTTGGAGATGCCGTAAGCAAAGTAGGCGCTGTCAGAATAATTTGAAAATATAATATGTTCAGCACATCGTTCTCGTGCATAATTGTTTTAAAATCGCAATTGAAATCAGGTAATTGTGTACATTCTTACTTCTAAGTAGTATCGACACCAGTCCGTGCCAATTAATTCAACCGAAACAGTTCTCAAGTAACTAAACTGTTGCAGCTTAGAGTGAAGGGAATCCCTAATCTAAAGCGTCTGATTGCTGCAAACTGGTTAATATTCGGGCATGCAATTTAAAAGACAGGCTAAAGTCTGAGGCATTTCCTAAACTCTCTCAGTGTATCACCAGATGGGATACGGAATTGGTCAACCAATTTTGTCAATCTTTCCTGTGTTCTTCTAAACTGAACAATCCAGATACTCAAAACCCGTATCCAAAAACATTTACCCACTAACTTTTGGTAAATTTTGCATGCAAAGAAATCTAGAAACATCGTGCTTTGCGTTGAAAAAATGCGGACGCCACTTGGACGCTTCATTCATTCAATGTATAATTGCCTCGAGCTGCACGCAACATGGGCAATGCACACGAACAAAGTGGGTGGCGATTTCATTCCACAGTCCACAGTTACGTTGTTATCGACCTTGATCAAAATTAGCCAGCAGGATTCGATGTCTT